TTAAGAAGAGATGAAATACTGCCATTTGCAACAATATGGATGGACCTCGAGATAATCATGCTAAGTGAAATAAGCCAAACAGAAAAACCACATGGCATCACTTATATGTGAAATATAAACCTAAAAGCAACAAATGAACAGGACAGACAAACAGACACTCATGGACATAGACAATAGACTAGTGATTACTAGAGGGTTAGGGGGAAGGGGGGAGGTAGGTGGGGTAAAAGGGGCCAAATATGTGGTGACAGAAAGAAATCTAACTGTGGGAGGTGAACACATATGCAATATATATATGCCTTACTGTTGACTTGAACACCTGAAACTTACTGGATTTCGTTAACTAATGTTACCATTAAAAAAAAAAAAAAGACAAATCCCCACGCAGGTAGGAGGGGCTTATAGCTTGGTGGTTTCATGGGAAACCCTGAATGTCAGTGCGTGTAGATTTTTTTCCCCTTGAGCTGATATAATCTTTTTTTTTTTTTTTTCAAGCTGATAAGTCCTTTCTAATACCTTAAAAAAAAATCGTAAGTATTCTGCCTGATTTCCGTACGCTGGGTAGGGTAGAAGCTCAGTCCCAACATTCGGTAGAAAAATTTTATTTACTTTCTCTGTTGTTGATGTAGTCGCCTTGTATCAGCTGTGTGTGGCATTCCCCAGTCGAGACACCCTCTGTCATACCATCTCCTGGGAAGTCATCTGCAGGCCTCTGCTGGGCAGTGACTGACCTGCATGGCATCGAGACAGAATCTGGAATCTAATGGCTTCTTACGCAGACCTTGAAGCAGTCTTCCCGTTTTAGCCTCTACACCACTCCTATTTCTGGAGACACCTTGCCTTTCGCAGATTGAACGGAGTGAGTCATTTACCCCGTGGCATTCTCCATCGCTGTCTTCTTGGTGGTTCAGCTGTGGGAGTCATCTTAGCTCACACCCTTCCCTCTGTCCTCAACTAGAAATGCCCTCGCCTCTCTGTCACCCCGCTGCCCCCCATCACTGCTCCCTGCAACCTAGGTACTGCCTCCCGGTCCTAGTGGCTGAGCTCTGCTGCACCAGCTCCTTTTGGGCCGCCAGGGCTGCTTGACTGTTTGCTCAAATCCGTGAAAGTCGATTGTCCACCCACAAACGCTTGGTGTCAGTGCCTCCCCCGTGCCAGCCCTGATCAGTGGGAAACTCTCATGCCAACCGGTAGGATATCAGAGACCAGAATTTCCCCTGCTCCTCAGTCCTCTGCTCTATGTTGCTGTGAATACTCCACCCGAGTGTCTTATGGAGTGTCGGCCAGATGTATCATCAGGGTGGCCCTGCCTATGGGGTCAGGGAGAAGACAGCAGGCTGGTGGCTCATTCTGGGCTTTGTGGGGTGGTCTCACGGGTCTGTTGTTTGGCTTTTAATACATCTTTGCAGGGTTTTATCCATTTGTTCTGCATTGCCCAGTGTTAGGAAACTGACTCAGGTGAATCAGACTCAAAGTACACTAAGTCCATAAAGAGTGCTTATTTATCAATGTATAACAGGCTGCGTCTATTTTCCAATAACTGGGCCATTTGTATCTGTATCTGTTATCCAGGGTATTCTTTCTCGGGTATCAAGCCAGAAGGACAGCTCAAAGTTACCAGCTGTATTCTGTACACCAGGGTGCGCTAATTATGTTTTGTACATTATTTCCAATTAATTCACACTCTAACCCTGTGAAGAAACCAATGTTCAATGAGGCTGAGTAAATTACTCAAGTTGGCAAAGCCAGTGAGAGAGAGTCAGAACCTCTTGGCTCTGTCACCCTCCTGGGGTGACCACAGAACAGGAGAGAGATGAGATAGTCTCATGAGGTTCTCATCACAGCAGAGTTCAGGAGTCAGGAAAGGCCCCTCTGATGACCTTCCTTCCGAGTCCTGAAAGAAGAGAGTAGACAGGTGAGGAGGGTGGACAGGTGAAGAGTGTGGGGAGTGGCGCTGAGGTGGGGACACATGGGTGAGCTCGAGGAACTGCATGGTTGCAGCCCAGCAAGCAGAGTGACCCCAGGGAGCCCCCTTGGAGACTTCAGTGAAGGCCAAGATAGAATTGTCAGTCCACAGCCCAGACCTCCTTGGATCTGGGATGACCCAGTTGCTAGGCTCAGACTCCTCTTTAGGGAGGGCAAGGAGGCTACCAAAAAGACCAGAAGTTTCCATCTTCATATGACACTCTAGAATGTTCCAGTCCCTCAGATTACCTGGATATTATTTCCAACATGGCTGACTTCTTATGTTAGTAATTCCTTGCCAAGGATTAGTTAACTGGGCAATCACTGTTTTTCTTACGACTCTGTATTATCTGTGAAGTCCTCAAGTTTGACCAGTCACTGATGATTAATAATTTGAGGACCAATAGACCTATGGCTCCCCAACTTGAACGCCCATCAAAATCACCTAGAGAGATTGATAAAAAAAAAAAAAAAAAAAAAAGAGGCTTGGGCTCTAACCTAACCTTTTAATTAGCACTGTTTTTTTACAATCTCCACAGTTATTCTTATGCAGTTGGTCTGACCACTTCTCAGAAAGTTCCTGCTCTGGGACAGGGTCAGTCAGAGGTCACATAATGTTAGACAGATGGGTGACAGCAGCAGAGATCCTGAGCAAGGCCCATGTTTTCCATCGCAGGGAGACACCAGCAGTGCAGAGAGTGTGTCTTGTGCATACGAACGCCACGTGTGTCCACTTCCCTCTCTTACATAAAGGTCGTCCTCACCATTGGATCAATTGGCTAGTGATATTTCAGTAAAGCACTATATGTACAATACTGAGAAATGGTCATTGTCCTCAAGAAGCTTATCAACTGTGCATTTTATCAATCCTAAAATGCGCATTTTGTTTCATATTTTAACATCTCATAAATGGGGTTTGCCAAAAAGCTGATCGTATCTTCGCTTTGTTATAATGCAGTGGAGAGCGTGTTTTTTCTTACGGCATGTAAAATAATGGCGCCACTTGAAATTAATGGTATCTTTAACTCAGTGAAACAGTGGTTGAAAAAGGAACAGCACATTTGCATTGGCAGGGAGCTGACCTGCATTTGCTCGTGCTGTTCCCTCTCTCCATGGATAATTCCACACCCCTGCTTCACCAGTTCTACTAATCTATTACAACTCTATTCAGAGGCCACATCCTTCAGGTGTCACTACCCAGTCTGGATTCCTACTACCCAGTCTGGATTCCAGTCCTACTACCCAGTCTGGATTCCAAGTCCTCCTTCTGGCCTTCTGTACTTGCCTCTGGCCAACACTTACCACGCTATATTATATTTGTCCTGTAATTAGTCCTCCCGTTCCCCAGCTAGATTGTGAGCTCCTTGAAAGCAAAGAGGCAATTGTACACCTCTGTGTCTCTAGTACATAACACAGAGCCTGGGATGTAGTAGAAGTTCAATAAATGTTTGTTGAATGAATGAATGATGAAGGATTGAATAGTTTCAGGCAATATATGTTCTGTACCATAGGCAATACCACAGGATTTCAAAAGAAAGGCAGAGCACGGGGCTGGAAACGCCAGGGACAGCTTCATGAAGGGAATAGGATGGGAGCCATTCTGGCTGGATGGCTGTGGAATGGCTCAGGACTGAAATGAGGAATGAGAAAGGGCCAGTGCTCAGACCTGCATCTCTCCTACCAGGTAGCTCCTGTGAGGAGTGTTACTTGGGTGGATTTCGTGTTTGAATTTCAGGAGGCTATGGGGTTTCATTCATCGTTATCTTTAATACCGGTGTTAAAGCAATAGATTCAGAGGCATAAGCAGTTCAACCCTCGGTGAGCTCTCACAGGAAGTTTTGAATATACACAGACATTGTGGTTTAGACCTCAGAACTTCCTGCCAGAGCCTGATAAAGTTTAGCAGGTCTAAGAAGCCAGGAGAAGGCGGTGGAAGGGACCACAATTGTGGCCCCAATATTTCAAAGCAGGCGACTTCTCACCACCTATTGCTGTGGAACCTTAACTGAAAACTGTTTTTTTTCCCTCCCCACTTCCCCCAGCGTACAGCTGGCATGAATGTAGCTGGGGATGGGGCCTGACTCGGTGACAGCGGTCATTTAACACACATGGCATTTGATTCTGCCGAGTCGCCTCTCAGCCAGCCCTTCTGTATGTCATCTGACAAGCCCATGGCACCTCCAGTATTCACAGTCCCTCTCTTTTCTGGGATGGCTCTACAGATCCTTGTGACCGTGTCTGAACAATCAAGGAAGGCAGACCCAAACAGTTACGCCTTCTGGTGCCTCTCGTTGAAGTTCGTGCACAGAGGTTTCAATTCATTACACAAATCTAACAAGTAGGTTGTCAGGCCAGCTTTGCAGCTGAGACCTGTGGAGTGCGTTCTGGTTGTTGTAGTGGGAATTAAGGTGGCCCAGGGGAATCACAGTGACCAGATTTGATCCTGCTGCCACACCAACTAGACTTTCTTACGGCCGTGTGATACTGGGCTCCTTTCTATAATGAGTAGACACTGGGGTCAAGTCAAGCTTTTATTTAAGGTGATACTGGGCTCCTTTCTATAATGAGTAGACACTGGGGTCAAGTCAAGCTTTTATTTAAGGTCTCCTCCCAGGATGGTGGGCAAGTGTCCACCAGGCACGTAAGACACCCAAGAATGTCGAGCAGGCAGGCGGCTTACGGCGAGTACGGGCACAGTGACTGCCGGATGTCGCACAGGGAGACGAAGAGACCTCGGTCACCCATCATCCTAACGATTGCACTTTTATTGTCTTCCCCTTCCTGGTGTGGTGGAGCTCTAGGAGGAGGCCAGGGACTCCAGGTGTGAGACCACGTGGCCGCAGGGGTGGCTGTGGCCCACGAGCTCGGGACACGATAATGTTCTACATGTAGGATGCACTTGACGTTAGTGCGGGCATGCGCACCAGAGTGCAGGAATTCCACGGTGACTTTCTGAGACAGGGGACAACTGTGCCAGGAGACAGTTAGGAGTTTTCTGTGGCCACACGGGGAAATTTCGGTTGAACTCGAGGCCTGGGGAGGGGAGGGCCTTTCTGCTGGTGAACTTGTGTACCCGGGGAGGGAAGAGGCCTCCTCTGCTTCTGGTTCTTGTGCTGCTGTTGGACACGGTGGCCAGAAGGTGGGGGACGATGACCAGGCACCTGGGGACGATGACTAGGTGGTGGAGGAGGTTGGGACGCAGCTGGATTTTGAGGAGCTGAGCCTGGGACTGGTTGGAGCTTCCGGCCCCCCTCTTCAGAGATTTTTCTATGTGCTCTGACCTCCAGTTCTTCATCTGCAACAATAAAACCTTTGAAAAGTTCATCTTGGCAAGATATGGTCAACGCAACAAGGTGTTGAGTACACCTCCTATGCACATGGTGTCATGCTACCTGCTTTGGGGGATGTGATGAGGACGCAGAAGCCGCCGCTACCCTCTAAGCATTTCTAGTCTGATGGGGGACAGAAACGCCCACCAGCAAGGTAGAGGGAGAGCCCAGGGCTTCTGAGAACTCGGGGAGCTAGAGGCAAGGAGACAGGTGGAGGGCTTTGTACCCGGGTCTCCCAGAAGCGCAGAGGACACTCAAACCCCACAGCCTACCTCTGTCACCCCAGAGACAGCCCCCGAGAGTGCCTCATGGTTAGAGCGGAGGGGACATTAGAAACGGTCTTCCCTGATCAGCCTTTCACCCAGTTCTGCTCTGAGGCAGCCCACGTCCCGGCGAGGGTTGGAGGGTACACCAGGGGCTTTGTACTCCTTAGAAACTTAATAGTTTTTCAGAAATTCTTAGCTATGCTCCATCCTCTTGGGCTTAGAGGGAAAAGAATTCCTCCTCTGAAATCTTCTGCTTTGTGTGACTGTCATCCATGAAGACAGGCTCACGATTCAGTAATGCAGTTTTTCCTTTACTGTTTTAAAATTACTCTGAAGATGCGAGAAACTGCTCAGCTGCTACAGATCTGGAGGACCCCGCAGGCCCCACCGGCCTCCTCGGGGCTGTGAGTAGTTACCCAGTCCCTGTGGCCAAGGCCACCCTTGCAGCTCTCCCAAGGCAGGCAAGAGGACATCTGTCTGGGGTCAGTGAAGGGCCTCTCCCACTGTCGCAGGGATGTGGGGCTCGGCAAGCACAGGCCCTCTCTGAGCGTCACTCTGCGACTTGGAGTGATGACGCCAGTCCAAACAACTTCCTCCCGCTGCTGGAAATCCAGGTCTCGGGTGGCATCCAGTGTGAGGACTCAAAGTGGGTGACATGGTTAGGACATGTGAGAGGCCACTGTGCTCCAAGCACGTAAAGGAAAGGGCACGGAAGAGGAAAAACACATCCTCAGTGACAACCTTGGCGCCCCAAGGTCATGCCTAGGAGGCTGGGCAAGCGACTCTGACACTTGACCCCACTTACAGCATGGGGCAGTGGGGGTCTGTCTTCATCCTCTACGTGGCAGGCTTGGCCTGGCCATTTGTTCACTAGTCTGTTCACCCGCCGTCCTGTCCATTTGCTCTTCGAGCACTGACTCCCCCTCTGCTAGGTGTTAGATGCCATTATGAAGTGGCAGCGACAGCTTGGGCACAAACACTGTCCTCAGGAAGCCTAAGATCCAGTAAGCGGGGCTGCACATCACACAGTCAGTCTCCAGTAAGAGCCCAGGGCCCCCAGAGGGGTGTACTCCAAGAGCCCCATGAGTTCCCGGAGGAGGAGTTGGGTGTGGCCGTGCGGCTGAGCCTCCAGGCGGGCTTGGATACCTGAGGCTGGCTGTGGCTCTGTGCAGCCTGCGGTCAGAGCAGGGCCGGGGCCCTAGCACGCCCGCGCCTGCAACGGCAGCAGCCCTTGCCCCAAACCTGCTCCGAGGAATTCTGCCAGGCTCAGTGTCCTCCCGCCTCCTTTCATGCCCCAGGGTTAGGACGAGGGTGAAATGCATGTCACCTGAGCCCTCACTCTCAGGTTTGTGCAGAGCTGGGTCGACCCTGAAGGTGAGGGTCTCTTTAAATTTTGCCCCCTGAGCTCCTTGCTTGCCTTGCCCTTGTCCTGACTCAGCCTGCTGGCCACAGGATTTGGGGCAAATAGTTTAACCTCACTGAGCTTAAATCTCCTTATCTGTATGAGTATCATCTATTTTATAGGATCCCTCGGTACGTTGGGGAAGATGATGAGTATAAAGCATATTACAGAGATAAGTGCCTGCACAAGCAACTGCTTCGTCACCATGAGGTGACCATCATGTTGGCCATTTCATTCTGGTGAAAGCAGAGATTGCCTTGTCATTGGGTCGCCTGTCGGGTCCACTTTGGAAAATACATGACCTTTGACCACCAAGTGATGGAGAAAGGGCCTTAGCAGCAGGGAAGGGGAACGGAGAACTGCCTGAGCAGGCTCTCCTGGGGTTGAGGGTGTGTGAAGGGTGGCCGTGGAAGCATGGGGATGTGCCAGGCGCAGCTCTGTGGCAGGACCAAGGACCAAGGGCCGGTGGCCTGGAGGAGGACTGAGGGAAGAAGTCTGAAGGAAGGAAGCCGAAATCGAGGGCCGCCACTTCCTAGGGAGGTTCAGACCAGGCCCTTCCATGGAGGTGCACCCTCTCAGGGGAGACCCAGAGTGAGAGGCTCAGTCCTGCTGGGAATGTGAGATTGCACAGCACCCGAGGGGCCTGCTGATGGCTGGACACCCCCTCTTGGACACACCTGCAGCATGGGGTCCTAGCTGTCCCATCCGGGCACCCATGGAGACAGCTGGTGTGCCATCACGGTGGTCCCCCCTGATCCGCGATTTCGCTTACCACAGTTTCAGTTAACCGCGGTCAACCAAAGTCCAAGAGTAATAAGTGGAAGATTCCAGATGCATAAGTGTTCCATGGCGCGCCATTTCTGAGCAGCGAGATGAAGTCTCGCATCATCCTGCTCACCCCTTTGTCCAGTGCATCTACTCTGTAGATGCTCCCTGCCCGTTAGTTGCTTAGTACCCGTCTAGGTTATCAGATCATTGAGTACCATGGTGCTGTGTCAAGTCACCCTTATTCTACTTAATAATGACCCCAAAGCCATCCACATAACTCCTATTCGAGTATATTGTTATAATTGTTCAATTTTATTATTAGTTACTGTTGTTAATCTCTTACTGTGCTCAATTTATAGACTAAACTTTATCGAAGGCATGTATATGTAGCAAAAGCGTAGTATATATAGGGTTTGGTACTATCTGTGGTCTCAGACACCTACTGGGGATCCTGGAATGTCTCCCGTGTGGATAAGGAGGGACTGCTGTGCCTGTACACACTGCCTTGGGTGGCCTGGATGCTCCTTGAGCCAACTCCCCACTTATGAGCATAATCTTTTAATTCTCAGTGGATCGTTGGACAGGCCTGATTTGAGGAAGAAACACTCCCAGTCCTAACACAACCCCTCTGAACCGCAAACTGGGAAAGAGAGCATAAACACCCAGCTTTGGAACAAGCCTGTGAGCACCTGATGCCCTGAAATCTTACCCATGATCCTAGGAGCTTGGTCCTGACCATGCCGTGGGCCACTGCTCAGGAAGACGAGATATTTGTTCAAGGAAATGGTGTTTCGAAGCTAATCTTTCTACCCGCTTAGTAATGTGTGGCTTATCCAAAATATGTCCACACAGCCTTACACCGCATCGGCCTCAGGGGGTGGATTCCAATGGGGCCAACTTGGATTCAGCTTCTTAAAGCTTCCACATTGTCACCGCTGAGAATTTGTTTTTCAGAAATCAAGCTAACCACAAAATGGAACAAACTGTAACCACCAGTTACAACCCTGACATTCTGAAACTACCTGGCTCCATCATCTTCTTGCCAAACTCAAAGTGTCATCCCCACGAGTTGTTTCCACGGGGATTTTGCCAGGCCCTGTGGTGGGACAGAGGAGGGAGCTTACCGTTTCTCCTTCGGTGCTGTTTTTTCCTCTTGCTGATGTAGACAATGAGCAGCGCCACAAAGATGAGGAACATGAGGCCTCCTCCACAAATGCTAAGGATGAGGATGATATCCAGACCTTTCCCTGCAAGAGGAACAGTGGTTGGACAGAGGGCAGGGGTCCGGGCAGAAGGGCCATCATCGCTCTGGCTGAGGACTCCTGCCTCCCGCATGAAGCAGATAATAGAGCCTGATGGGACTTCCCAGCTCCATAAAGGCCAACCTCATGGAGGGCAGGGGATTGTGTCGATCCCTGAAAGAGCACAGGGCCCAGGACCAGCCCCTCAGAAGGCTCCCTGAGGAACGGTCCCCCTGGACTGGCGTGCCTGATTCTCTGTGTGCCAGGGCACTGTCCGCTGCCTCCCACCAAGGGAGACATCACGGAAGTTCAGATCTGACAAGGAGTTTAGAGACCATCTTGTGTTCCCTCTAGTTTCACGGACGAGGCCCAGAGAGGGAGGATGAGTCGCCCGAGGCCACAGGGCATCTGTCCCCGCGTGGTTCCTTTGAGCAGCCCCTTGTCTCAAAGTTTCTGCACTATTTACTCAGTTTCACCTCTGGCTGCCCTTTTACCATGGATTTTTTTTTTCTTCCCTTGCCCTGTTGACCAGACAGTTTCCAAAGACTGAGGGTCCCTTGTCCAGCCCAGCTCCCCAACTTCTTTGGCCTGTGAGAGAAACTCAGACAGACACACAGTGAGTTGGCAGCAGCGGTGGACTTGATCTTCAGCTCCCAGACCGTCAGTTGCTGTAATGCAATGAGGATGACAAAGACTCGGTGTTAAGAGAAAAGTGTTTGAGTTCTCAGCTCTTCTAGGCAAGAGCTGTGTGACTTTGGGCAGGTTGCCCCACCTCTCTGAGCCTGTTCCTTTCTTTGTAAAATGGAGATAATGAAACTGACGTCACAGAGTGGCTGTTAAAAGTCAATCAGATAATAGATGTGAAAGCGCTTTGTAAACTGTAAAACACCACGCAAAAGCGAGGTCGCTCTTAGTGGAGCTCTGAGCACCGGTGTTTCTGGGGCCTGTTTCCAGGGAGAGCTGCTGGGCCATCTGCCCTTTGTGAGTCAAAGGCAGCTAGAGAGGCAGCAGCTGGGGCCAAGGGTCAGGGGATTGGAACATCTGGAGAACAAACTCGAGCTCAGCCCAGTATCACAAAGAAACCCTCTGGCCAAACATTCCTGGGAGGATGCTCAGACAGGGAGCCCAGGATGGGCCCCTGGAGCCAGCCGGAGGCTCAGAAACCAAACCGACAGACCGCAGTGGTGTGCTCCTCCCTGCTCTCTCTCCAGCCTCCCTGACCCGTCCTTGGGGCAACCTCTTGCTCTGCGCATGAAGGGGCTTCTACTAGAATCCTACACTCCTGAGAAACGGGGCCGACACGGGATCTGGGCTTCCTCAGGTTTCGCTAGCGGGGAGGCAGGGCTGGGCCTCCTGGAGTGTCCCTCAGTCTGAGCCGGGTGGGCCAGGGCAGGACTGGCACCAGTTGGGGGGCACGGGGCTCGTCTTCCCTCAGAGTCCTCACACGGGTGGCCACATCCTTATCTTGGACACACTAAAGAACGTAGGAATGACTTTCAGAGTCTGCTCATGGGTTTGTCCAGCATGTCCCTCTGGGCGCCTGGGGGTGCTCTCTGTGGGGGACATTCCAGCTTGTCTCAGAGGCAGCTGTGGCTTTGTCATTCAAAACTATGTCCTCACAGTCTCTAAAGCCAACCAGAGTCCTTCCTGCACACCCTCTAACACTTCCCAAAATTTACGTGGTACAATCTTTCTTGCGCATCTAAACCTGCTCCCTACGCTAGCGTTTGGGTTTGAAGTACATACTCACCTCTTCTGAGCCAAATGATTAGTCTTATGGTCACTCCTCCCTGCCTGGCCTTTTGGGGTGAAACGTCCAGACCTTTTTAGGCTCTTCCAGAATAGCGTCCTCTTCCCCGGCCTCTCCCTGGGTGTTCCTGTCATCTCCTTAGTGGCCTTCCCAGACTGGGCCCTGTTCTCCACCACGGTGTAAGGGACACAGAGGTTCCAGTCTTCGAACCCCGGCTTCTTCCAAGGCCCTCCCCGCTCCCTCCCTAACACACACACATCGTTACAATGGTGAGATCTAGTTACAATAAACATGAGGTTGATCGTCAGATAAAGCACAGGGCGCCCAGTTGAAGCTGAGTTAAACAACAACTAATTTTTAGTGCATGTCCTATGCAACATTTGGAACATATTTATACTGTCTTTTCATTTGCTAATTCTGGCAGCTCTAGTCAAGGGCCCTTGAAAGGGGAAAAGAGGCTGTGACGTCAAGGACGGGCTGCTCCATTCACCAGGGCCTGTGATGGGGGCTGTGGAGGGTGGCTGCTGGGGGCAGTCGTGGGGGCTGCAGTGATACTGGTCTAAGTGTGTGGTCGGCTGATGCTAAGGTGACCCCAAAGTTCCCTGCCTTCCGGTGTTCCCACCTCTGCGTAACCCCCTCCAACTGAATGTGGGCTGGACTCAGTGGTTTCTTCTAATCACTAGACTACCTCAGAAGTAATGGGATGTCTGTCACTCCTGACATAAAGTTGTAAAAAGATCCTGGCTTTTGTCTCGAGAACTTGTTCTTGCTCTTGCTTGGATTGCCAGGGTTGGGCGGGGCGGG